AGGAGAGATGGAGGGTGCCGTGGGACCCATACACCTAGGAGAGCTCACTTGGCTCAGAGGGAAGGCCTCCAGAAGGAAGTGACGTTTCATCTGGGATCTGATGGCCGAGGAGGAGTTAACCAAAACAAGAGGGTGGGGCCAATCAGATGTATGTTTCAAGTGCAGGGTCAGAGAGAGCCTCAAACCAATAGAAGGGCTTCCTACTGTTAGAGCACCAGGCTGTGCAGCCGCAGGAAATCCCCTGCCTTCTGGGGCCTGGCATTCCCCATCTCAAAAATGAGGAGACTCAATGAGCATGCTCTTTTCAGCTGTAAAAATCAACAAGTTTAAGATTGTTTAAAATTAACTCAAGCGTGGAGATCCATCTCTCCCATAACTGCCCCAATCTGAAACCTATCTCTTGCTGGTGGGAAGCAGGTATTAAGAAGGCTGAAAAAGGCAGGGGAGGGGCAGTGTGGTACCCTGCAAACCTCCCCATTTTCAAGGTGCATTCTCCCCTTCAAGGTGCTTCTCTTCCCCTGCCAGCTCTGCAGCCGGCACACAGCATCAGCAGCAGCGGGGGGGGGGGGGGGGGGGGGTGGACCGGGAGGTGGAGCCTCAGAACATCAAACCCTGTACACAAGGCAGCCAGATGTGCTCCAGAACCAAAAAAAGGTATCAAACAGTTGTCGTCTTTTGTGGGGTTGACTCCTCCCCCACCCCCAAATGACTTAAGTTTCTGAATTCAAACATTGTTTTGAGTGTAGGTGCGGTTCTTTCTGAGTCCATACCCCAGGAGGTTAACAGGGCTGTTTCTGATGGTAGAATGATGGATGACCTTCCTCCCTTTTTTCCTGCTCTTTTCTATTTTCCTATTTTTTTACAATAAGCAAGTATGATTCTAATTGGAAAGAAAACAAAATCTACTTTGATTTATTAAGTCTCAGTCCATATGTTTCTCAATTAATTTCGTCTGGAAAAAATGGGGACCTTCCAGCTGTGTGGCGTAAGGATTAAGTGCATTTGAAATGGCATGACAGCTGAAACTGGACTTTTTTTTTTTTTTTTTTTTGCGGCACGCGGGCCTCTCACTGCTGTGGCCCCTCCCGCTGCGGAGCACAGGCTCCTGACGCGCAGGCTCAGCGGCCATGGCCCACGGGCCCAGCCGCTCCGCAGCACGCGGGACCCTCCCGGACCAGGGCACGAACCCGTGTCCCCTGCATCGGCAGGCGGACTCCCAACCACTGCGCCACCAGGGAAGCCCTGAAACTGGACTTTGGTAGGGTGAAAAGTTAATTGTATTTTACAGCAGTTGTTTGGACTAGAGGGTGGGTAGTGGTGGCCAGAATTTATTCATTCACATACTCCTTTCAACAGATAGCCATCAGTTACCAGCTGAACAAGTTACTCAGGTGATCCGTGTCTGGAATTTCCTCTTGTGTCAAGTGGAAAAATTAAATATACCTACCTCATAGGATCCTTGTCGAGATTAAATGAGGTAATTTATATAGAGCAGTTAGAACATTATCTGGCATGTGATAAACATTCAGTACAAGTTTTTGTTACTTTTGGATTTCCTTATTTTAATAAATGTCTCATAATATGTACAGAATGCTCATAAATTAGACACGGAGCTTTTGCTTAAGAAGCTCAAATTCTAGCAGCAGAATAAGATCCGTCCAGAAATAAATATGCCTCAAAGGAGAAAAGGTAAGTTTCTTAAGAGAAACAGATAAAGTACTAAGGAAATTCAGAGGGAGAGAGCCCCTCCGGACTGGGAATGAGGGGGTGGGAGTTAAAGGCAGCTTTGGGGCAAAGGGGCTGTGTGAGCCCTTCAGACCAGCCCTGCACGCTGAAGCTGCCAGAGTTTCCTTTATCCTCAAATGGAGCCAATCTTGCTGACTGTGAAGATCTGCCAAGTTTCCTGCAGGGAAACATTTAAAAGGCAGTAGAGTAAGGGACTTAAGGGGACAGGCCTGGCCCCAGGCAGCCTGGCTTGGAGCACAGACTCTGTCACTTACTCCAGGGACCCTCTGAGAAGGCCAGTCAGCCTCTGCACGCATGGGTTTTCACAACTGTAGGATGAGACCGTGAGTAACACTTCCTGTAGCTGCTTCGGGTAAGGATGCCATCCAGTGGGGTTTACAGCACAGAGCGTGGCCCCAGTCCATAGAGTGTATCATCTGCCGTGGTCAGTAGTGGAGAAAGTGAGTGTGCTGGTGTTGTCACAGTTCTCTCTTCGTGGCTTCTGTCACGGATGGACAGTTCTTCAGTCTACAGGGCAAGTGTTACAAAATACATGTTGTCGAGGAAAACGCTATCTTTGTTTTTATGAATGGGCTCCTTACTAGTATTTTTGTTCAAGTAACAAAACGTGCTTCAGAGCACTGAGGGTGATGTCAGTAGGCTGACCTGTCAGGACACGGGCTTCATTTCCTCACGCCCACTCATACTTCTGGAATAAAGGCCCAGCCAAGCAATGCCCCACCTCCAGGCCCCCAACGCTGAGTGTCACTGGGAGCACACAAGAACACGCCTGACAGCGCTCCGAGGCTTTGTTCCCTACTCATCCTGACGTTCTAGAGAAACACGGGGCCCTTCTCTGGCTTCCCGACATTCTTGACCTTATTCATTGTCACGTCATCCTCCGGGCAGAGGGTGGTGACAATGAGTCAGAATTAGAAAATAATGTCTTTTCTCTAGGATGTGCCAGCTGATTTTACAAGTATTTTTGAACTTGTAGTCTGTGCCAGGCACTTAAGCCACACAAGAACCTTGAAGAGTAAATGCGGTTGTTACTCTCATTTTACATTGGGAAACCAAGGCACAAAGAAGTTAACTTGCCCAAGGTCCCACACAGGTAGAAGGTCCAGGGACAGGTCTCTTCAGGCTGCTGACTGCTGCTCTCCATGGGTGATCAGACTGGTGTTCTTTTTATTCCACTACAGTCTCAGACCAACTTGTGGGAAAGCCTTCAGCATGGCACACTCCCTCCTAATATATAGCCTATTTGCTTGGACCTTGTCTGATTAACATCCAAGTTTTCTGAGAACTAATTAAAATTCTTGTTAAGTTACAAACTACCATAACCTTCCTCCCACCTATAAATAGCTTCTTTCCCAATAGAGCTGTAGTCCCAAGTAGCTTTAAAGCAAATCAGATCTGCACCATTGGGGGGAGGGGCGGTTGAAACCCAGACTTGTTTCAGGCCACACAGTATTTTGGTAGAAAAGCAGGTAAGCACCCCTCTTACCTAGTAGCCAGAAGTGTTTCCTATTAGCTAACAGATTGACTACCTTTCCCCATCTCAGGCCTGGTTGAACCCAGGAAAACTCCTTCCCCACTGGTTTTAAGAAGTTTAGCCCGTTTTTCAAAGTGGAGATGATCCCGTGTAGAACTAAGGGCCCAGGCTCGGTGGATTAACCATCTTGGAAAGTAGCACTGGCAGTTGTGGGCACGTTGGCCTCAGCAGGAGTTAAAAGACTCAGTTTCCAAGTCTGGCCTTTTCGTCTTGAGCTGTGTGACCTCGGGCATGTCACTTATCTTCTCTCTGTTTCGTTTTCCTATTCAGGAAAAGGAGATTAATAATGCAGTTCCCTGGGGACCTGATTCTCCTCAAATGAGAATCCAAGGAGATTAGGTACAACAGTAAGAGCCGCCATCTATCATCACTCACGTGCCAAATACTTTCAGTTCCCTTACATGTGTTATTTCATTCTCACTGTCCTAAAATGGAGGCCCTAGTGTCGCATTAAAAAAGAAAGAAAAAGTTCAGAGGAGTTAAGTCACATAGGATTCAGATCCCTGGCTCCCAAATTGATGCTCATAATCACTAGACATATCACATTGCTTCCCACTATACACCAAAGCAGAGAGGCTTTGTCTTTCCTATCAAGTACTCCACAAATGCAAGAGATTAATTATTATCTCTAGTAACCACTGCTGTTCCATGTTAGTCCCTTAGGACAGTTAAATTCTCTTGCTGCTTTGTCTTACCTAGTAGTTTATGCTGCCTCTTTCCATGTCCCCAGGACTTGTTCAGTGAATTCTTGGGGTTTTTCTCCCAGAGAAACAGTTCAGCTCTACCAGAAAGGGGGTTGAAAGAGGCTGAGCGGAGCCAGGCATCTTGAGCAGAGGCCTTGGACCCCTCCAGGGTTCCTCCCTCCCTCAAGCGTGTGGTCAGCCAGCTTGTAGTAAACTTCCTTATGTTGCATTTGTTGACAAGCTCATCTGTCACTGAATTTTAGAAGTGGCCAGCTTATAGTAAACTTCCTTATGTTGCATTTGTTGATAAGCTTCTCCGTCACTGAATTTTAGAAGTGGAAGACACCAAAGCCCTCATTTCATTGATGGGGAAGCTGAGGTCCAGAGAGAGAGATGACTTGCTTGAGGTCATTCATTCAGTTCAGAGTGTGACCAGGACCGGAACCCAGTTCCCCAGGCAACAGACTAGTGCTCTCTCTGAGCCTTTAGAGTGGGCACGTGGCATCTCCCCCAGTGAAGGACAGACTCATGCACTCTGTCCAGCATGCACCTAGGAAACTTTAGGGAGAAATTCGACAACTTGGAAAATTGAGAAGGAAGAAGGAGTTGGGGGGAGGGACGGAGTTGGGGTGCAGGTCCCCACCCTAACTAGTGGCTCATACACCAAAGAAGTGAATTAGACCACAGCACGGCAAACTAGGTAAGCCCACGGTCAGCAGTGACTAAGAGGCAAAGGGATTTATGCTGGGAGCCCTGGCCCAGGGAGTGGATAGGAAGCCTTTTGTCACTAAGGCTGCAGCGTTGAAAATGGAAGGAAGGATGTTAGGCAAATGTGCCGGCCCGGGATGCAGTTACAGCCCCCGCAGCTCATTGTCCAAAGGAAATGGATCTCTCCTGTGGACGGAGAGGTGGAAACTGAGCAAGGGAGCTGAGTGGTTGACATCATCAGGCTGAGCATTGGGTTACAACAAATGGGGACTTACTTGGCCCGAGACGTGGGAAACACCCACTAAAACCTTGAAGTGCATTTCATTTAGGAGACGCGGAGAGAGGGAGAGAGAGAGAGAGAGGGCACGAGAGATCCTGCCTGCACCCCTGGCCCGCTCTGCTAATCTTGCTTACCCTCGGAAGGGAGGCGTTCTGAATGCTGGCTTCTTAAATTCGACCTTCCCTTCTGACTGAGGACCACTGGACTTTGAAGGAACTCTCTGCTCTTGTAAGTAGAACTTCCTTCTCTGTCGCCACCCCCAGGGAGAAGCAGACTTGGAGGTAGGGCTCTCTGGAGAGCTTGCTTTCTAGCCTGTTGGTCACAGAGTGTCTATTTTTTTATATTATGATTTATTGCTTTGAAATTAATGGCTTTGTCTGAAACTGCCTAGGGCTAGAGTCTGAGCCTCAAGGCTCGCAGATGGGCTCCAGTCAAATGCTGTTTCACTTTGTTACCCAAAGAACTTTGACAGAGTACCTAGAACTTCGAAAGCAGCTCCTTGCCCCAAATATAAGTGAGGAAATAAATCCTCCCTTAGAAATTGGTGTTTGGAAAATCTTTATTAATTTGTTTTTCTGATTACCAAGGTGGTACAAAAAAATCTTAAACATTGTAGAGAGAAATATCTCTGCAAATGAAAATTCCCTATAATCTTCCCCTCTTCAATGTAACATCGACATTTTAAATTTAAGATACAGATACAATTAGATTTCATGAAGTTACCTCAGCACTTGTGCCCTGATGCCTCAGTGGCTGCATAGGAAACTCCAAGATCGAGATCTTTAACTTTGGCTTTGTGATCTTTTTATTGCTTCCTTTAAAAAATGTGCTGTTTATTCCTAGAAAATAAACAGAACGTGTAAGTCTTTGGGCGTTTTATTTGTTGGCTTCTGTGTTCGGGATTTTAAACGGAGGGAGCCACTCTGTGCAGAGAGGAAGGGAGGGGGGCGGTACCAGTGGGTGCCGGGCTGAGGGTTCTCAGGTGGCTTGAGATACAAGGCTTGCAGGTGCTGTGTGTGCTCCATCTAGCCTCCTGGCAGGTAAAAATAGTTGAAAAAAATCACAGTTAAAGAAGAGAGCCTTCGGCTTTAAAAAAAAACAAGAGCCACCACATAATAGAAGGGCCACCCAAGGAAACCGTGGAAGCCTGGGCAAGTGTTTCACTCTCCGGGCCTCAGTTTCCTCATTTGTACCTAAATGAGGGGTGAAACTAGATGATCGCTTTACAGTTGACCCTTGAACAACCTGGCTTTAACCTGCGAGGGTCTGCTGTTCTGTGGATATTTTCCAATGAATACATGCTACAGAACTACATGATCTGCGGTCGGTTAAATCCATGGATAAATCCATGGATGCGGACCCACGATCTAGGTGGCCGACTATAAAGGTTACACTCGGATTGTCGACTGCACGGTGGATTGGTGCCCCTCACCCCTGTGTTGTTCAAGGGTCAGCTCTGTTCCCAAGTTCCGTTTGAAGTGAACCACTGAAATCTCCTTCCCCTTTGAGGAGACCCCTTAGGGCTTGAGGAACAAAATGCCCTTAGTTTTCAGGATCCTGGAATGGGTGAATACTGGTGCCTCTAGGAGAATTAAAAGATGTCATAAAACAGGCAATATTAAGTTACTTCTGAGTTGAAAGTGTTGTCAGGTTTTGTGTTTCTGAAGGAGAAAATCTCAGTGTGGTGTGCACGCACACTGGGGAGGGAGGAGAAAAAAGAATGAACCGTGCTGAGCACCTGCTAAGGGCCAGGCCCCATGTTACGCTCATCCTTTCACATAACACCAGGTGGTCAGTATCATCATTCCCTAACTCCACCAACAGGGTAAATCTCCACTATACGTTCCCATATTATTGCGAACTCCTTCCTAGTGTTCACCTGAGCTGTGAGAGCACCGAATCCTAACCACTAGACCACCAGGGAGTGTCATACCTGCGCTGTGCTTACATGGTTATTGGCGTGACGTCAGTTCACTGCTTCCACTAGACCACATGCACCGTCTCCTCTGTCACTGTACCTCCTTGCCTGGTAGAGAACTTGGCGCATAGGTACAGAGAAGACACATCAATTTTAACTTAAAGCCAACTGTCCTTCTCCCTAACTTGGCAAAAGAGAGGCAGAAAAGGAGGGGAAATCTCCTTTTTTGCCTCCCTCCCTCCTCCATCTCACCGAGACACAGCCTGCACTGCTGCAGGGAAAGGGTACCAGAGCCAAAGTACAAAGAAGAGGAAAAGAAGTTGTCAAATCTTGGCCTCTGAGTTTCCAAGTGTCCAGATCTTGGCAACTTAAGGGATTTTTTTTCTCTTTAAGGCCATCAGAGACCCTAGCCCTCAGGAAGATGCAGTATTTAAAACGATTTGTTTGGATTAAGATCGCGGTTAACTGGAGGGTTCGTGCAGCCCCTCAGCATATCTGAGAGCTGAAGCATAACTTCTCCAGCAGCTAAGCCCTTTGAAAGTGGGCTGTTGCTGCCAGGGCAGCACCCCTGGGCGTGGGCAGCAGGAGGGCCCGGGCCTCTGTCCCGGCCTCACCCAGGATCTGGAGCCCCAGAATCTCAAAACTTTGGCTGATTAAAAAAGTCGTCCCTCTTCCTAAGGTGGTGGTGAGGAGGTGATATTCTGGAAGGAAGGTACCTGGTTTGGGTTTTTATTTATGTTTAAATTCGAATGCTTATCCAGTCTGTCGCGCTCTCTAGTTTCCTGCCTGGTCTTTGGCCCCTGTGGGCACTTGCATTTGTGGCCCCCGGGCTGGTTGGTGTCCCCAGCCCCTGTCACTCTAGACAGTCTAGGGTTCGAGGAGAAGTTGAGCCATCTCAGACAGATGACCCCCCTCACACAGCGTGCTCCTCTTCTGAAAAGTGGGAGGTCACAATTATACCTACCTCAGACAGGCGCCCTGAGGACAAAGCAGGATAAAGCTCGTAATGCACTTGGTTGGTCCAAAAATACATGCTCAGGATTAGCTGCGTTATGGTTTCCAGAAAGAGAAAGTCAGCTGACGTCACAGGCACCTGCCCCCTCAGTCGCAGGATGGCATTTGCGTGAGGAGCCTGAAGTTATCTCTGAACTCCTCAGTTTCGACCCCCCCATCCCCTACTGGGCCCTGGAGCTGCCATGCTGGCTCTTTCATCCAAACCTCAGCAGTGTTTCCTGTCACCCACTTAAGTGATGAGGCCAGAAGCTGAAGTGGGCGCTGTTCTCTTGGGACCCAAGGTCCCTGGCCCAGCCGCTGAAGGAAAAAGGTGGTGGCAGGTGTTACTTTCTGAGTGTGACAAGCAGCTGAGCTCACCCAGTTCACTCTGCTGAGTGCTTTCACGAGGGGCCAGAAGTGATTCCTAAGTGGAGACAGACGTGGAAAATCTAAGGTTCTTGAAAACAAGTCATTAATCACGACCCAAGGCTGAGCTCACTACCTCCTGGAAATCTTTCAGAAATGCCTCATGAAAACTTTGAAAACTGCCCCTTCAAAGAGTGGTTTCTTTGGAAGTTGCAGTCAGCTGCCGTGCTGAGCCATTCCGAATCACAGATGAAGACACATCCGCTCTGACCGGAGGAGGCCAGCATTTCCTAACTTGAAAAGTCTCTAATCTTCCAAGAAATTGCTGGTCTTCAACTTGGCTTTTCCGAACTGAATAATGGACCTTCAAGGCACTAAAGAAATGAAGTATTTGGTTGCTAATGCGTTCTTATGTCCCAGGGAGCTAGGTCAGTAATTATGTTTAGTACTTTATGGCTGTGGTTTCTGATGTTCAGTAAACCTGCTGAGGGCTGATGGGTACCGGAGACGAGGCTAGAGGAACAGGCTGATTAAGAGACAGCCTCTGGCCTGGTGCAGTTCTCAGGGCATCGCGAGGACAGGTGGGTGAGTGAATAATTAGAGTGGATCAGCAGCACGTGGACGGAGGTCGTGGTCTTGAGCTGGGTTGATTACCCCCACGCTCCCCTCCATCTCCTGACGCCCAGAGCTTTACCAGCACTCGCGTTAAGGGGAAATGAGAGCCGCTCCCGCCGAAGCATTCACCCCCAGCACCTTCCTATCCCCCTCGGCTTCAGAGGAAAGAAGGGAGTTCATCACAAAATGCAGCAGCCCCACCTTAGAGGACCCGGAATCTGCTATCCCATGTTCAGTAAGGAATTCTAGGGATGCGTGATTCTGTCGTCTAAAATCACCACTAAGTTTTCTGTTGGTTTGTTTTTATAACATATTGTGGCTTTTTTTTTTTCAGTTTACAAAATTGGAACATGTTCATGGAAGGAAAAGCGAGGTAGTACAGAAAAACATACTTAAATCATCACCCAGTGATTTCACTTCTCTGATTTTCAAATAAGGCATGGCGAGGTCAAAGGGCATGACCGTTTTTAGATCTCTGATACACGTTCCCGGTTTGCCACTGGAAAGTGTCAGCCTATATAAGCTCCCATCAGCAGTCCATGCTTATGCCCGCATCCCCTCACCCGCACACTGGCTGCATCTGGAGTTTAGCTCGTTTTAATTTCTCCCTAGGCAGAGTCCCTGTTTGCGTATCTCAGAGGTGCTCGTGTTCTGTGTTGCGGTCCCCGCGGGGGAAGAAACCACTATCTGCGCTTGGTTAGGGGCCCTGGCTTTCCTTTGTACTTTCCTGTACGTATGTGTGAATTCACCCATTGTAAAGAGCCCTTTGTGTTTTCGGTATTATGCGAGGTGCTATGGGCAACACCAAGGTAAGTAAGACTTATAAGTAGCTCACAGCCTGATAGGAAAAAAGGACTCGGTGACTCTTAACACGTGTGATTATGTGCCCCAAGAGAGGGACGGTGCTGTGGAAGGCCTGAGAGAGTAGCTATTAAGCTGGGACTTCGGTTCACTTCAGTAAATCTTTCATGTATTCAGCCCGTGTTTATTGAGCACCTCATATCTGCTAGGCACTGGGCAAGGTGGTAGGTGGACAGTGCTACATAGAACAGGCATGGTCCTTCCTCACGTGAAGCTTACATGGACTGATGGTGGTGTTATGAAATAAACAGCATGAGTGATGGATGCGGAGGAGAGTGTAGTTGGGGCAGGTTTGCCTGAAGAGCTGGTGTTTCAACCAAGATAAGGAGTCAGTTATGCCTAGGAGTTGGGGCAGAGGGTGCTGGGGGTGGGAAGGAATACTCCAGGTAGGGAGAGGTACACAGGTGAAAGGCGCAAGGCGGGAAAGCCTGTGGAATGTTGGGGAAAGTGAAAGGAGGCAGTGTGGCTAAAGCCTAGAGGGGAAAGGGAGAGAGAAGAGGGTGAAGGTTAGGATCGGGGGAGGGTTAGGAAAATGATGGAGGGGCCTGGTGATGCAGGGGATTTTCCTTCCCTTATTCAGCAGCTGTATACCAGTATATGAGCAAAATTTCTCTCTGAGTTGGCATAGAATAGTCCTCCTAGTCTGTAATTTTTTCATAAGGGGCAGGAAAAATCTCTTACTCCCAAGGGCCAATGTCTATTCATTGGCTTGCCTATAGTTCCCCTTTCTGATTTCAAATGTGAGCTCCCCGCTGGACTTGGGTTTGGAGACCTCAGTTTGTACTGCTGCTCTGTTACCAACTTGCTGTGTGACCTTAAAGGATCCTTAACTTCTCTGGGCCTCATTTTCATCTGTCAATGGGAATGATGCTGATCTGATCCCAGGGTCATTGTGAAGATCGAATAAGTATCCTAAACTGCTTTGTAAAATATGAAGTGCTGTAGACATATGAGCTATCATTATTATTTCAATGAAAGATTTCTTATCAGTGAAATAAGAGTTGAAAGTGAAGCATGCCACCAGGAAAGGGCAGAGTGTACCTTCCAGGCAACCCTGAAATGGCAGATTCAGCATAGGTGGCTCTCCTTCAAGAGCTTGTTGTGAATGCTGTTCCTCTTTTCTCTTTCATTTCATCCACTGGGATAAACCACTTCCTTCCTTTCTCCTTCCAACAGAATGGGTTACAAAACAATCCATTTCACGTCTCTGGATTCCAGGACCCATTTGATATAGAAGCCAGAGCATCTGCTTGGAGGCCAAGAGAGCCTTGTGAGCAGCGATGCTGCGGTTTACTGGGCTTTGGTTCCCGGCAAACATAGATGCCCGGGTGTATATTTAATTGGGTTTGGGGAGAAAGGCAATTATGGGCACAGAGCCACGAAAAGCAGTCAACAGTGCAGGAGCGGCCCACACACCACCTAAGCAGGGCAGTTTCAAGCCAAAGCTTTAGGCTTGCTTTTGGATTTTTAAAGGGGAGCATTTTTATTTAAGTAAAAAAAAAAAAAATTCCCTTAAAAAGTGACATAAATGCTTAGGAAATAAAGTGCACTCTTTTTTCCCTTTCATGAAGCTTTTTTAAAAAATGTGTCTTCCAGCTATTAAAATGATAGGTTGGAAGACCTGTTCTATTTGACCAAAAGAGAAAGTGACAGTAAGTGCAGTTAACTGTCCCATGTAGATAAATGGGTAGTGTGTGACTCAGTTTACCAGCATGCTTTCTCTGCTCTCATTAGTTTGTTGTTGTTTTTGTTTTCTTCATTAGTTTTCCCTAAAGTGATGCATATGCTTGTTGTAGCTAGACAATTTGAAGATGTATAAAGAAAAAGTTTGTAATCTCTCCCCTCTCCCTGCTCCCCATTTCCATCCTTCTGAGATAACCACTGTAATCAGTTTGGTGTATATCTTTCCATACCTTTCTCCAGGCTCCTACGTGAATGGATGCTTTGTGTATGTATGTGGTTTTTATGTTTTGTCACAAGTGGAATTGTACTTTATTATTTTGCCGTTTATTTTTCCCACTAAATAATACATCATGGGTAGGTACAAATTTGATTCACTCTTAAATAACTTCAGGGCTGTAGATCTCTAGAGGTACCACAGTATATTCAACCATTTCTCCTTTGGCAGATACTCGAGTTATTACCATTTTTTTTACGAAAACTATTGTTGCGTTAAATATCTATATGTACATATCTTTCTTCACTGGTCCTTTTGTTTTTATAGATTATATTTTCAAAAATAGTATTGCTGGGTTAAAGGGTATACGTACTTGACATTTTAATAGATAAAACTGTCCTACTTTACAAAGAGTTCTTATAATTTGCATTCTCCCCAGCAATATGTGAGTACTTCCATTTCCCTAAGTCTTTACCAGTATTAGATATTCTCTCTTCTTTCCTCCATCTCTCCTTCCTTCCATCTCTATTGTTTTATTTCTGACCAAGCTGATGGGAAAATGGTGTTTTATTTTTGTATATTCTTTACTGCTAGTGAAACTCAACATTGTTTCATGTTAATTGACCATTTCATTTTCCTCTTCTATGAATTTCCTTTGCACATTTTTCTTATGAATTTTTTGCCTTTTTCTCAGCAAGTAGTAGGAGCTCTTTATGTGTTTATGTATTAAGGATTCCATATGTGTTACAAATATTTTTCCTAATCTATTATATGTTTATTAATTTGTTTCTGTATTTTTCTTCATAGTGTCTGGATTTCTTGCCTTGTTTAGAATAACTTCCCTACCTCAAAGTTACATAAATATTTTCCTAAATGTTTTTCTAATACTTTTATGGTTTTAATTAATTTAATCCTGAATGTTTAATCCCTTTGGAATTTATGTTTATACATAGCAAGAGGTAGTGATCAAGCCTTTTTCTAGATGGCCAGCACCATTTATTAAATTAGCCATCTTTTCTATTTTGTGTTGAAACCCATCTTTGTCATAAATAATTTCCTTTATTGTATCTGTTTCTGAACTTGCTATTCGAATCCACAGCTTATTTGTCTATTCTTATGTTAATACTGTATCTTTTTATTATAATGTCTTTATAGTAAGCTTTTCTTGTAAGACAGATCCCCTATTTATTTTTTATAATTATCTTTACTATTTCTTGGCTAATTTTCTTGAGTACTTATTATTCCATATGAACTCTAAAGTGATTTTTTTTATTCACCCATCCAAAAAAATCTATTGGTAATTCTTATTGGAATTTAATTAGAATTATGTAGTCACTTGAGAAGGATGGCATTTTTGGATAATTAGGCTTTTCTACCCAGGAGCATGCTAACTGGTTTGCAACTTATGCATTCTATTTCTATATTTTGTTGCTTTTACCTTTAGAATTTCTATATGCATCATGGATATATTATCTAAAATTAAACAGTATTTCTGTGTTTGCCCTGAATAATCAAAAACCTTACAACATTTAACTCTAATTTCTCTTCCATCTTCAATGTTATTATTGTCAAACATGTAATATTGTCAATATTATCAAATACTTTTTACCTCCTCATTTAGCTCTGTTTCACTCAATCAGTACTTCTTTAAATTTACCAATATACTTACTAATTTTGCTCACTGTTGATTCTAAAATCTCACTTATTTTCTGTGTTCAATTTCTCTTCTGTTGGAGAATGTTTTTGGAGTTTGTCAATGGTAAACTTGCTCAGTCAGTTTTTGTCTGAAAATGTCTTTTGCCCCCACTCTTTTTTTTTTTTTTTTTAGTTAATTTATTTATTTTATTTATTTTTGGCTGCGTTGGGTCTTCCTTGCTGCGCGCTGGCTTTCTCTAGTTGCAAGTGAGCAGGAGCTACTCTTCGTTGCGGTGTGCGGGCTTCTCACTGCAGTGGCTTCTCTTGTTGCGGAGCACGGGCTCTAGGCATGCAGGCTTCAGTACTTGTGGCTCGCGGGCTCTAGAGCGCAGGCTCAGTACTTGTGGCGCATGGGCTTAGTTGCTCCATGGCATGTGGGATCTTCCCGGACCAGGGCTCAAACCTGTGTCCCCTGCACTGGCAGGATGATTCTTGACCACTGCACCACTAGGAAAGCCCTGCCCCTACTCTTGATATTTTAGAATTTTAGATAGCATGTATAATGATTATATGGAAGTTATGTATGCCTCTGTAAAAGTTTTCAACTAAAACAGAAGTAGTTAATGTAAAAAGTGAAAGTCTTTCATTCCTTTTTCTGAGTCCCAAAGAGAGCCTCTGTTCATAGTTTGCTGTTTGCCTTTTTCTATGTGGATTCAAAAATTTTGTATATACACAAACGGTGTACATTTTTCTAAGCATAAACAATCATGGTCATTTTTTTAAAAAAAGCAATAATATATACAATTTTACACTACTTTTTAACAACAGAGCATGTACATTTTCCCATGTCAGTATGACAAAATCTCCCTCATTCTTTTTAACGGCTATGTAGTTTCTCATCATATTGATACACCATAATTTAACTCTTTTCCTATTAACAGACATTTAAGTTGTTTCCTCTCCTATTTTTTTTTTACTTTTACACAATATGTTTTACTGAACATTCTTTTACTTATGTGAGCATACTTATAGTATAAATTCCTAGGTATCTGACTGATCCAAAGGATATGTGCAGTTAATATGTTAGTAGATGTTGTTAACTTGTATTCCTAAAAGACTGTTTCAGTTTACAACCCTAGAGTATGTCTGGCTCTAATTTTTGTTTTTCTTCTGGTTCCTTAGAATTTCCATATTGATTAGTCAACAGTGGAAAATCTGAAGAGATGCGAGCTGGAAAAAGAAACTAAACCAGGTGGGTAGTCACATTGTTCATACCACTACTGTAGCATCACAAATGTTTACCTAAATACCTTTATTTCCATTTGAAGAGGGAAAAGAAATAGATTCCAAATGAAATTGGAGAGGAATGTGGGCCCCATGAAGAAGAGGCAGGATGGCCCTTTTCAGAAGTTATATAACATCACTCTGCAATTTCAGTCATGATTCCATTTACATAGTTTCTCTATAGCAAAAGAAAGACAATTTACTTCTGGTGGCTTAAAAGAGAATGGGTTTCTTCAGCCATCTACTTAAGCAGATGGAATCATTCACAGGAGTTATTAGCAAACCTAGTCATGATGCCAACTTTCCTGTCCACCAATGGTTTGTTATAAAGGTATTTTCATAAAGACTAGGGCGCATTTGGGGAATTTTAATACTGTGATACAGGAGCAAAAGCAGGCAAAACCCAGCGCATAGAAACAAGTACAGCCCAGTGATCTGATGAGGAGAGATGGTGCAGGTCCGTTCCAGTTGTAAGAAAAATGCAGTTCATGCAACACAGAATGGCCTGCCTGGAAGTGTGGCCACCTTGGGTTAGTGTTCATATTTTTATGGTATCCAAACATTTTCTAACAGCTTCTGATCCGTGGTCCACCCACCTCCCTTGCCCCCACCTCGCCTACCCCTTTCCAGCTCCATCCTCTTGCATTAGGGCAGAATCTCCAGCCTTTAGTACTCTGTCCAAGTCCTAGTAGTCCTGGGAATTTGGAGGGTTTCCAGCTCCTTTGAATTCCCTCTCATGGCCTGGCCTGCCTCTAGCACCTCTCCTAAGATTCCTCTTCTCTGTTGGCAGAGCAAGAATCTTATCTGGAAGGCAGTTGCCCTGGGTCTGGAACTCCCCAGCTGCTTATCGGCAAGGCTTTTGGGCCTTGCCCTACAGTAGCTTCCTGAGCCACCAGGTTTGTGTCCTGTTCTGACTCAGTGCTGCTGGGAATCCCCTGGATGCATATATTTGCAGTGACTAGGATGCGGCAGTCAGCTCCCAGGACTGTTTATCTGGCCAAGATCAGAGGACCTTCTATTCCAATTGCTGTGGGAGCATTCGGTCCCAGCCACTGAACCTTGAAGTTTAGAGCCTGGGTTTTTAAACAGGCTTCTGGGGTTCAAGATTTCCCTGTAAACATGGGTACAGTTTTGTATGCATACACACACACGTACTTTTCTAGGCAAAACGTCTGTAGCTTTCCTCAGATTCTCAAGTGTGTCTGCGACCTCTGAATTGGAAGAATCATTGGTCTCGAGAGAGCCTCAAGTGGTGTGGGGCACTGCGTCCCCTTGGGCAGCAGCCTCCCACATGCCAGGATATCTTGGGCGACCTCACCAAGCCTCTAGGTTTTTCTGTTTAGGGTTGAACTGGGACAAATTAGCTAATATCACTGAAGCTCAGAGCCATCTGATGGGATGTCCCAAAGTCCAGTCATGGAATTGTACCCCCAGCCCCTGTTTCATCTCACTGAGCACACTGTGTGGGTTTTCCGGTTTCTGAGTCTGCAGCTCGGAAGGGCTGCTCCGGCAGCTACGCTGACGGCAGTGGGAATAGTGTGGGTAGCTAAATTCCATCTGGCTTACCACTGCCAAGAACAGCGTCAGATACTTTGCGCACCTTATCAGATACCTTGTACAACCTCCTTCCACGGAGGTTGGAACTGTTATTTTACATATGGAGAAACTGAGGCACAGAGAGACTTTGTAACTCACCAGAGACCACACAGCCAATAAGTCAGTAAGTAATACGTGACCCAAGCACATGAGCTTAACCACCAAGCTTTATGGTGAAAGTAAAGGGCATTTTTAGAAAAATAAAGCAGAAAAAATATGGGGCTGTTTAGTGTAGGGCAAACTGTCCTGTATCTTATAATAATACTAAGAACATTGCCGTGTTATACCAGATATGAAAAACTATGCACACAGCACTGATCTTAAATCATTAAGAAAAGGTTAGTGGGTAATACACTAATGCGTTAGTGCAATACCTGAGAAGAATTTCTCTCCTTTGTAATTCAGATAAGCTTCATTGAAATATAATTCACATACCACACAATTCACCCATTTAAAGTCTACAGTTCATTGGCCTTCGGTATATTCACAGAGTTGTGAATCTGTCACCATAATCAGTTTTAGAACATTTTCATTCCCCCCAAAAGAAATCCCACACCCTTAACTCATCACCCTCCCAAGCCCCCAACCCTCCCCAGTCCTAGGCAACCACTAATCTGCTTTCTGTCTCCACATAAGGTTTTGATACTTAAAGGAGTAACAGTGTGGGAATCTTGGTGATCTGGTGTGAGTCATTCCCTGAGGAATAATTAGACAAATGAAATTTGACTCTAATGTATTTTATAAATGGCTTTATTAGCTAAGAAGCTACAAGCATGTCTTTGATATGCCCAAATTTAGGGTTGACATAGGCAAGAGACAAGTTTGTTTCTGAGTAATTTCCACTTGTCAACGTCACCTGTCAAACGCGCTCTTCTCAGCGAGTAGCTGTAAAACAATGATGGGTTCGTGGGGCCGCATTTCTCCATTGGTGGCAGAACCAGTGGTGGTTCAGCATAGGATCTTTTTTCTGCCATTGGAATCCCTGGCTTGCTTCTGTGTCTGCCTGGCTCTAGTTGTCAAAGTGAAGGGCACTCATGTAGTTGCCCGTCACTCTGAAATTCAGGACAGGATCCCATCAGACACTCAGAGGATGTACAACCACATGCTCTCTTGAACTCTTGTCACTTTAGCAGATCCACTGTGTATCTCTCCTGACTCATTCATTCAGTCGTTCTTTTTGAAAACATTTATTAGGCGCTCTGCACCTGGCACTGTGGTGGGTGCTCAGGCAGTCATTCTGAAAGCTCCTTCTCCTTATTAGTACAGTGCGTGGCCTTATTAGGCCCAGGTGGGCAGAGCCATTTGCACTGAGACAAGCCAGAGGGGCAGGGAGTTTGGTAACAGAACAGTTCTCTGATGGGGATGAGACATATGCAGTGTCACCCACATCGAGACAGAGCCGTCCCCAGAATGCACCCATCCTGAAGAATGTGCGAGGAGTCGGGGATGAGGAAACCCAGGTTCAAGGCCTGATTTGGTCACTGACTGCTTAGAGGACCTGGGGTGATCCCCGCAACTTCTCTGAGCCACAGGCTGTCCATTATGAGGGTTAAGTAATGCAGTGCTTCCCAAAGTACCTTCAGTACCAGTGCTGGGAAGAGTCTGTACTTAGTAAGTGTTGAATGAATGACTGAAGGAGTGAAGGAACATTCTGTGATTCTCAGAGCTGGAGCAGAACCCTAGCAGGTCAGGCGACCAGGTGGAGACAGGTATAAAGACCAAGGAGAACCTCCCTTTCTTCTCCCAATCAGACCCTCCTGCCACTTTCGCCCCTTTAAGCTCGCCTTGTCCTCGGCTCCCACATCCTCTGCTTTCCTGAGCCAAAGAGAGGCTCCACCTTTGAGGCCTCGGGCCTAGGAGCCAGCCAGGCCTGGGTGTGAATCGGGGGCTCCGGTACATCTTCGCTGTGTGTAAAAGGGATCTAATTGTGCAGGGCTACAGGGAAGCGAAAATAGGATGATATGGAAAGCATTTCTTACCATATCTGATGCATAACATATACACCCATAATTGGTAGCCGTTTTTATTTTATTCTTATCATTGTTGTTTGTTTGGTCAGGAGCCAGCGCTCGTATGGTGGTTTTCATCACTGGCTTGAGAGTGCAAATGTTCTTCAGTTCTTATTTTGTTCGTTAACGCATTCATGTGGATATATTTATTGTGCATCTTCCACGCATCATGAACTGTGCTGTTTGCTGGGGATACAGTGACAAGAGAGTCAGGGTGCCTATCCTTCTAGAACCAGTTGAGAGGGCAGGTATGGGACAAGTGTATCAGCACCTGTATGGTGGCAAAGCAGGGAGCCCTTATCTTTTCTGCTGGGTCAGGGAAGAGGACACTGGGCCTGGGGGCTGGCTGTCACTTGAAGACCCAGTGCCTGGAGGTAGGGGGCAGAGGGCTGGAATACTAAACCGAGGGGCTGGGGTCCAGTGCAGACTGTGGTTACGTGGGCCGAAGGCACAGGGGAATCTGTACTCTGCTCCAGTCGGATGGTTCCCGGCTTGCAGACATGTTGTTCTTCCCGGTTCCAAGGGAGGCTTACTTCATTAGTAATCTTCTGTGTTGTGTTGTGTGGATTGTGGGCTCTGCTTCTGTCCGGCGGCAGGAGGAATGGCAGGCGAACTTTGTTTCTCCTTTGGTTTAAGACGGGAGGGCCCCAACTAGAGACGCCCTTACTACCCCCAGGCCTAACTCCCCCTGCACTAGAGGGAGGCTCTGAGAACTGGCGTGGAAGGAAAGCGTTACAGCATTCATTTGGAAATGCCACAGAAAGGGTAAAGTCAAATCAGAGCAAAACTCCGAGTCAACTCTTGTCCTCCAGGACCCTGGAAGGTCCCGGCCACCGTCAGCCTTCTCTCTCCCCACTTGCTGCACCCCAGCCCTGTGGCCTCCTTGCCCTCTTTCTGGACACCAGGCAGGCCCCGCCTCTTGCATGCTGTCCCCTCTGCCTGGCCCACTTTCCCAGGTATCTGCCTGCTCTCCCCGCTTCAGGTCCCTGCACCCGTGTCCCTCTTGTTCCTTAGTATGGGTCGCTCCAATAGAATTCTAGCTTCATGAGGGCAGAGGGTCTGTTTTATTCGTTGCTGAATCCCCGGTGCCCAGTGAGCAATAAATATGAAGGAGGGGAGGGAGTCATTTCCTTAAAGTTAGTGCCTGGACTCCTGAGCCCCGCTCTGCCTTGTACATCTTATTGTTACAGCCCTTAATAACCAAGCTTTTTAAAGATCCTTAAAGTTTTAAAAGATTCATATACCGCAGTGGTCCCTAAACTCTTTGTGCTCTTGTTACATGTGTGGGCCATGACAATCTTCCATCGGTAACAGAGGCTGACAAGCGCAGTGCTATTGGCTAGTAAGCACACACCACATTCCC